TGCACCTGAAGACCCTTCAATATATAGATATACTCCGAATTAAAAATAATTTTTTGACATTTCAGAACTGTAGTATCTAACAAAAAGCCCATAGAGAATACTGGGGTCCAAATGATGGGCCGAACCCCTTGCAGCTGTCCCATGCAGCAGCAGAATACGGGCGAAACACGTGTCTGGGTTTTTAGCTAGTATGGCACATAATCACTTAATTTAAATTACCATCTGCCTGTTGGCAGCTTGTGTATATTCCACGGTCATCATACAGTGTTTGATGGACGCCGGCCCAACTATTCATATCGATTCTCGGCCCATACTCGTAGATCCTTGAAAATACTGATCTACACCGAGTAAGAGATTAATTTTCGAGGAGATTAAAAAGCTGAAATTTTTAACTTTACCAGTAGCAATCGAGGAGATTCAAGGTCATGCAGACGTGATGCTCGGCAATCCGGTTCAACTGCCAACCGGAAGATGGACGTTCCTTTTCATTAAAGTGCTAGCCTAGAGTCCTCGCAGGTAGTCGCACTCTATTATGCATTCACCAGAAATGCTTTTCTACTGATCGCTGTGCGTCAAACTCTGAGAGCTCGAGAATTGAGTTCTAAAGCAAACTGTCAAACCATTACTCCGCTCTGCTTTCAAGCCAGATTACTGAACACCATTCCCACCTGATCTTCGAAGAACTATTTTAAGCAAGTGGGCCACATCGCAATCAAAGCGTGAATGCGTCAGGAGCAAGGTTAAGAATAAAGATGGAGAGGCTGCAATAATGAGGACGGTGGGAGGGGGGGGGAGGGGGTGAAATGTTGTGTAAGGGAGGTGACTGACAGCAATAAGAGCTTAAATATTTACCACGCGATCTACCTCCATCTTGGACCGAGTCTGGAGCCTAGACCATCCACTATCCAGCTGCTGAAAGATGCGAGGCTGAAGCGGGTCGTCGTGAAGGTGGAGGAAGTCGTTGACCAACGAGATTAAATGAGAAAGGAGTCTGGTAACCGAGTCGGTAACAGGACAGGCAAGGGTGGTACCGATGTGTTCAAATACACGAAAGAGGATTGCTTCCTAAAATGTAGTTGAAACAGCTAGGTAACACCATGAAGTATGAACCAAGGAAGGGCTAAAAGTGTTTTCTGGTATGAAATTGAGGTAGCAAGAGTATGCAGTGTTCGAAAAAACCAGTATTGGCTAGAGACCACGTGAAAATGCAAGAGCTCAAATTGTCATACTGAATATCATCAACAGACTCAGGAGGACAGGGGGTAGCAAAGTGGTAACAGAAAAAGAGCCGTGTGTAAATTGAAAAGAGAGCTGAATCCGTCTAGTCTTGTTCGTGCTACTCCTAATTATGCACTGATTTTACTGTCAGTCATGCGCGGTTTCTCGGCAGTTAGTTAAAACGACATATCAGATGAATCTTTTTGGTGAGCAACCAGCTGTCAATGAGATATACCGAAAAGGGATCCGACGCATTCGGCCATAAGTCAATGTGCGCAAATAAAACCCTAGGAACACACCTTGGCGGCCTCGGAGTGGGAAAACACGAGAAGGTGACGTAAAAAATGACGACCCAGCAACGCAACCGGAATGTGGCCTGTCTGGAGCCAGCTAAGTGCCTGTTCCAAACATTCGAAAATCGTTGATGGACAGCCATCTTCGCAGTAGCCGTAGTGCTTAGCCGCGATGTCAATATTCATTTGCCATTTTGCAAGGAATGGTTCCTGCATCAGAGACTCGGGAGCATATGCTTGACCTGAGAGAGTAAGAAAAACATGCATGACAAAAAACTACGATTTTTTCACTAAATGGGGTGGCAGCCAACATTTCAAAATCAAACGGAGCTTCAGTCTGGTAGTACAAGGGCGAATACAGCGCAGACGGTTTTTGGGAGATACTTTTTATACACTTCCTCCCAAAGCATGTAAAATAATGGGAAAGGTATGTAAAATCATGTTATCGTCCATGAAAAAGCAGACGGTAGAGCACTCCTGGGCATAAAGCGGTCACGAACAACACATGATGGTTTAAAATAGCATAATCGGTAAATACAAAGGAGGTTGTAATGGGCATTTCTGGCACGAGACTAGTATGTTCTGCGATGCGATCGGTGGGCGTGCCAGTCCCACTCTCCTTTCCATGTAGGCGTGGTTATCTAGTCCGGTCGCACACTGTCAACATTTAACTATCAAGCTTCAGATGATGAATCCCGGAGGCGCGCTGCCACGACAAATCTATGGGATCACTAACCGGATGATAATAATAAATTGTATACTTAAGGCCTAAGGGGTCCCTTCATTATATCTGGTGGAGTTGCGGACACAATAAGTTGGCGAGACAAAAAGATCACATTTGATGCGAACAGCCAGAAACGCTTTATCAGTGAAGAGGGATAACACAGATGCAGCAGTTTAATTAACGAAAGCCGACTACATCTCTAAGGTCGAATTCATAGAGTGAGCCTCGAAATGCTTGAGGCCTTGTTTTCCGGCCCGCAGATCGTCAACAAACAAAATAATCATTCCATTTTCCTATTTAGGTGAACTGAACAAGAAAAACTTAGCCATGGGGATATTGTGCGGTCGAACACTGCTTCAAGTGACACACTGATGAGCCAAGTGGCCAACATAAACGACGAAATCTCAGGTACTGTCGACTCGGACGTGGCCGACCTTCTGCACCAATTTCGGGTATTTACGGTGAAGGCGGAGGCTGTTAATGTTAGTAAGAATAAAGTGCCGTAGAAACTATGTTTCTGTGTAACCGTAAATCATATTTATCTGATTATTAGATTAGGGTAAAAGTCCGTGCTCAAACGGTGAAGTCATGTCCTTCTTATCGTTACAGATGTTAAATCGAAAGTCTGCTAAGCTATTGGGTGTACTCTACAAATGAAACCCATTAAATATTTTCCACTTTAAGTGCTTTAGTAAGCAGGTAAAACGGTGTAAATATGTACTTGGAGGATATTTAGCCTGCGCAATAGAAAAACTTATATTTTATGCATCTATGAGTAAAAGTCCAAGCTGGCTTTTTGGGTAGCCAAAATAGTCTGCGTCGTTCGACGACAGTTCGACCGTCGATTTCGACGATATCCACTATGAGCTTCAACGAGTTGAAGTAAGCGATGACTTCCACAAG